GGGGGGGGGGAATGGGGTTTGGGGCCCCGCAGAGCTTACCTCCCACCGACAGGAACAGGAGAGCGGAGCTGATCCCGGCCGATCGGCTGTTGAACCTCTGCTCCTGATGTCGGATGCCGCCAATCACCATGCAGAGTCCCTGCCAGAGAGAGAGAAGGAGAAGCAGGTTTGATCTCTTGGGCTGGGCTGGGCAGGAGGTTTGGATCCGGCAGCATCCTGCAAAGGACTTGAACTCAGATTATATACAGCCAGCAGAGGCCCACCAGGATTGGAGGAAAGCTCTGCCCAAAACTATGGAAATGGGAGGTGGAGAGTTTGAATCCCACTCCTTTCTAGCACTGAGGATGTTCCCTAGTTGGGTTATGAAACGTCTGCAAGAAAACCACCCAACTCAGAGAGCACCAAGGACCCCACAGTCGTCGTCGTCGTCATCGTCCTCCTCCTCCACCTCCTCCTCCTCCTCCTCCTCCTCCTCCACAAACCCCACTCCTTTCTAGCATTGATGATGTTCCCTAGTTGGGTTATCAAATGTCTGCAAGGAAACCACCAAGCTCAGAGAGCAGAAGGACCCCACAGTTGTCCTCCTTCTCTTCCTCCTTCTTCTCCTCCTCCCTATTTCTCCTCCTCCTCCTCCTCCTCCTCCTCTTTCATTCCTTCTTCTCCTATCTTCCCTTTCTTTCTCCTTCTTCTCCTCTCATCAAACCTCACTCTCTTCTAAAACCACCAAGCTTAGAGAGCACCAACGTCCCCACAATTGTCCTTCTTCTGCTTCTCTTCCTCCTTCTTCTCCTCCTGCCTATTTCTCCTCCTCCTCCTCTTTCATTCCTTTTCCTCCCATCTTCTCTTTCTCCTTCTCCTCTCGTTAAACCTCACTCTCTTCTAAAACCACCAAGCTCAGAGAGCAGCTAGGACCCCACTGAACTACAAATATTCCCTTCTATCCATGCTATTCCAATCCACTTTCCACGATCGAATACCCCAAGACCAAGAATGGACTGGAGGCCACGTGGAAAGGCGCTCGAGGCCCAGACTCACCGGGATGAAAAGGACGCAGCCCAGGAGGGTCCCGGTGAGGGCAGACTTGACGATCTCCTCGTAGCACCGGTTCTTCTCGCGAGCCCCCTTGATGAGGGCCGTGATGTAGAAGGTGAGTTCCGTGATGGAGCCAAACGTGGCGTTGACCACGGCCCCCACCGCAAAGTTGCTCTGTGCTGAGATGCTGGAGGAGGAAGAGGAAGAGGGTTTCTCACGGACAGAGGTGAGGACCAGATCTTGAGGGTCTGCCTGGATTTCTCCAGGAAGAGAATAACGGAATAACAGAGTCAGAAGAGGACCCTGGAGGTCTTCTAGCCCAACCCACTGCTCAAGCAGGAGAGCCTAGGCCAGGGGTAGGCAACCTTGGCTCTTTTATGACTGGTGGACTTCAACTCCCAGAATTCCTAAGCCAGCATGAGGGAACTATGGCCCCCTCATGACTGGTGGACTTCAACTCCCAGAATTCCTGAGCCAGCATGAGGGAACTATGGCCCCCTCATGACTCGTGGACTTCAACTCCCAGAATTCCTGAGCCAGCATGGCCCAGCTTGGAAACCTCTCCCTTTCCCCTCAGCATGGCTGGCTCAGGAATTCTGGGAGTTGAAGTCCACAAGTCATAAAAGAGCCAAGGTTGCCTAGCCCTGCCCCAGCCAGCCAGGAATTCTGGGAGTTGAAGTCCACGAGTCATAAAAGAGCCAAGGTTGCCTACCCCTGCCCTATACCATTTGAGACAAATCGTTGTCTAAGCTCTTCTTAAAAACTTCCAGTGTTGGAGCACCCACAACTTCTGGAGATAAGCTGTTCCTTTCTTCCTTCCTTCCTTCCCTCCTTCCTTCCTTCCTTCCTTCCTTCCTTCCTTCCTTCCACCCATCCAACCAGTCTGTCTGTCTGTCTGTCTGTCATGTATTTTATCTATCTTATAGAATCTGGACTGTCTGTCTGTCTGTCTGTCTGTCTGTCTGTCTGTCTGTCTGTCTGTCTGTCTGTCTGTCTGTCTGTCTGTCTGTCTGTCTATCTGTCTATCTGTCTATCTAATCTATCTTACCATCTCTGTCTGTCTGTCTACCTATCTTGACAGCCCTCCTTGTGTTTCAAAGAGGATCCCGGTTCCACCTTGAGAGTTGAAGCCTTCACCTGGCGATCGCCATGCCGATGTAGTAGGAGAGAGGCATGATGGAGAGCAAGGCCAGGGTGAACTTGGTCACGGAGCCGGTGTAGTGGTTGTGCTTATCGGCGTAGCCCAAAGTCAGAGTCACGATGACCAACGGGAGGAGATCTGGGGGTTCGTGGGTGAGGAAAATGCATCTATCGTGATGGCAGCCGAGAGAGCAGAGCTGGCTGAGCTTGCAAAACGAAGCTCAATGTGTTTACGGACACGGTTAGCATCCCTACGGCAGGTGGCTAGAAATCCACCGTTATTGACTAAATTGGGAAGTTGGAAATACATCCCAGGAGAAGAAACGAGGCCCTTGTGTATTGTGCGGGTCCTGGGTGTTCTCTGAGGCTGGTTGCTCTCTTGCAGATGGAGGAGAAGGAGGAGGGGAGGAGGAGGAGGAGGAGGAAGAGGAAGAGGAGGAGGAAGAGGAGGAGGAGGATTGTGGGATCCTCGGTGCTCTCTGAGCTCGGTTGCTCTCTTGTAGATATTTCATAACCCATCTAGGTAACATCTTCAATGCTGGAAGGGAGTGGGGTTTGCAGGGAGGAGGAGGAGGAGGAGGATTGTGGGGTCCTTGGTGGTCTCTGAGCTTTCTGAGCTCAGTTGCTCTCTTGCAGACATTTCATAACCCATCTAGGTAACATCTTCACCTCCTCCCCGCAAATCCCACTCCCTTCTAGCACTGATGATGTTACCTAGTCGGGTCGTGAAACGCCTACGAGAAACTCAACAAGCCCAGAGAGCCCCAACCCTGAGCTACAAAAATTCTCTTCTAATCGCACTTCTGTCCCGTGGGGGAAGGAAACTTCCTGGAGGTTTCTGGGAAGTCACCAGGAGTTGTGCATTTCCTTGAAGGACCAACATCGGGTCACCACCCAGCGCTATTTGGGGCAAACGAAAGAAGGAAAAGAAGGGGAAAAAACACGGCGAAGGGGGTGAGTGAGGCTGGGCCAGTACCTCAGATCAGGAGTCCCCAACCCTCGGTCTGTGAATCGGTACCGGGCCACGGCATGCCAGCAACCGGTCCATACCAACAAGCAAAGCCCCATCTGTGGGATGCAGGCAGCACACAAAACCACGCGTCCTCCAGTCCGTGGAAAAACCTTTCTCTACGGAATCGGTTCCTGGCACCCAAAAGGTTGGGGGACCTCTGCCTCAGATGACCTTGGTTGCGCTCCAGAGATGTCCCAACAACAAACATTTTGAGCATATAGTCGTCAAGCGTCAAACCTGATTTGATGGCATCTCCTTTATACGACAAGAACGTCGTCTTGTGGACATCGGTCAAAGAGAGACAAGGCTAACATCCTTCTCAGAAGGTCCCAGAAGACCCCAGAGGTTGAGGCAGACGTCACAGAAGCTGCCCACAGCTGACCCATCTAGGTAACATCTTCAGTGCTGGAAGGGAGTGGGGTTTGCATGGAGGAGGAGGAGGAGGAGGAGGATTGTGGGGTCCCCAAAGGATACTGACAGCGAAGACGTTGATCCCATCCACAGCGTATTTGTAATAATACGCACAAACCGCCCGGTAACAACAAAGGACCACTTCCGCATCTAAGGGGACTTCCGTCTGGAGCAGAGAAGGAACACAAGAGAAGAACAAACCAGATTGGGCCGATTTTCGCTTCTACGACCAGGCAGTCCTCGACTTACGGCCACAATGGAGCAAAACATTTCCGTTGCTAAGCGAGACCGTTGTTAAAAATGAGTTTTGCTCCGTTGTATGATCTTTCCATGTCCACTCTTGTGAAGTGAACCCCTGCGGTTCTTAAGTGAATAATGGGGTTCTTGAACGAATCTGGCTTCACTGGCTTGTGACATTGTGACATTTCTGGCCACTGTTGTGAAGTGAACCCCTGCGGTTGTTAAGCGAGTACTACGGTTGTTAAGTGAATCCGGCTTCCCCACTGGCTTTGCTTGTCGGAAGGACGCAAAAGGGGGACCACACGAGATCGGGGTATATGCAGCCGTCCTAAATACGAGTCGGTTGCCGAGCGCCTGAATTTTGATCACGTGACCGCGGGGAGGCTGCAACAGCCGTTAAGTGTGAAAAACGGTCCTAGGTCCCTTTTTTGGCGCCATCGTGACTTCGGGCGCTAAACAAGCTGTCGTAAATCGAGGGCTGCCTGTCCATGGCCACCTGTAAAACCCCGATCCCCTTCTGGCCTTCTCACCTTCCGCAGGCGCTGGATATGGACGCACTCGGGAGGCAGGAGTAAAATCGTGGTGACGGTGCGCAGGCTCATCTTGGCGGTGGGGATGAAGAAGACCAGAAGCCAGCAGATGAGGCAGACCAGAGAGTGGGCGACGGCGAGGAGAGGGAAGCCGGTCAGCAGCCAGAGGTAGGTGCTGATGCGCCTCTGGGCAGGGTGGGGGAGAGGGAGAGTTAGGGCGGACGAGGTGGGGGTCCCCAGTGGGGAGAAACACACGTCTCAGGGAGAGATGAATAGGTTTCTTATGTTGGTTATGATCATGATTTATCACCTGTTGCTTGTATGTACACTGAAAGCTTCTGCACAAATTCCTTGTGTGTCCAATCACATGTTCTACTCTACTCTACTCTACTCTACTCTACTCTACTCTACTCTACTCTATTCTTTCTATTATTCTATTCTATATATTCTTCTATTCTATTCCATTCCATTCCATATATTCTATTCTATTCTATTCATTCTTCTATTCTATTCCATTCCATATATTCTATTCTATTTTATTCTATTCTATTCTATTCTATTCTATTCTATTATTCTATTCTATTTTATTCTATTCTATTCTATTATTCTATTCTATATATTCTTCTATTCCATTCCATTCCATATTTTCTATTCTATTCTATTCTATTCTATTCTATTCTATTCTATTCTATTCTATTCTTATTCTATTCTATTATTCTATTCCATGCCATGCCATTCCATTCCATATTTTCTATTCTATTCTATTCCATTCTATTCTATTATTCCATATTCTATTCCATTCCATTCCATTCCATTCCATTCCATTCCATTCCATTCCATTCTATTCTATTCTATTCTATTCTATTCCCCATTCCATTCCATTCCATTCTATTCTATTCTATTCCATTCCATATATTCTATTCCATTCCATATTTTCTACTATTCTATTCTATTCTATTCTATTCTATTCTATTCTATTCTATTCTATTATATTCTATGCTATTCTATTCTATTCTATTCTTATTCTTATTCTATTCTTATTCTATTATTCTATTCCATGCCATGCCATTCCATTCCATATTTTCTATACTATTCTATTCCATTCTATTCTATTCTATTATTCCATTTCATTCCATATATTCTATTCCATTCCATATTTTCCATTCCATTCCATTCCATTCCATTCCATTCTATTATTCTATTATTCTATTATTCTATTATTCCATATTCTATTCTATTCTATTCTATTCTATTCTATTCTATTCTATTCTATTCTATATTCCATTCCATTCCATTCCTTCTGGTTTGGTTCTGTTCTGTTCTGTTCCGTTCTGTTCTATTCAGTTCAAAACCCTGGACGGTTTACAAAGAAGCATTATTAAGCAGTCCTCGACTTACGACCACAACGGAGCCCAAAACCCGTGTTGCTAAACAAGACCTTGTTAAGAGAGTTTTCCCCCTTTTGTTCACCTTTCTTGTCACTGGAGTTGTTAAGTGAGTCACACGGTTGTTAAACAAATCTGGCTTCCCCGTTGACTTTGCTTGTCGGAAGGTCACCAGAGGGGAATCACGTGTCCCCGGACCATCATAAATATGAGTCAGTGGCCCAGCATCTGAATTTCGATCACCTGACCCTGGGAATGCCACAACAGTCGTAAGTGTGAAAAAACAGTCCTAAGTCGCTTTTTTCAGTCCTGTTGTAACTTCGAACGGTCACTAAACGGACTGTTGTAAGTCGAGGATTACCTGTACATCACCCCAGAGGTAATGTAGCAAGTTTAAGATTGGTGGACTTCAACTCCCAGAATTCCCCAGCCAGCCATGCTGGCTGGGGAATTCTGGGAGTTGAAGTCCACCAGTCTTAAAGTGGCCAGGATTGGAGACTCCTGCATTATACCATTATAAGCCTGAAGGGGGGCAGCTTATCTCACCAATCAAGAAAGAATCTACAGAGCTTCTTGGAAGGATCCAGAAAAAAACAACCTCGCTTCTTCCCTCGCCGAACGAAGACGACCCTTACCCAGTAACCACAACCCCCCATCTTGCACGTATCCTGCCGGGCGAGCAAGGGGGTGGTGTCCTTCACCACCTTGACCTCCGCGATGACGTGGTTCTTGCTGAACTTCATCTGGCAATCTGGATGGTAGGTTTTCATCTGGAAGACAGAGAGAAGAACCAATCGGATTCCTGCCTCCAAAATTCGGGCTCCCTGATCTGGAGTACGGGGATAATCCGGTGAAGAACTGTGGTTTTTCCGGACCTCTTCCCCGCTGGTCTTCAGACGTGGTCATCCAGAACCGAAAGGGATAGACTTAATTCCAGCTTTCCCAGAATTCCCCCAGTCGGCTGAAATGAAGACCCAAAGGTGCTTTTTCACGAGGAAACTGGATTTTCTTGTTTTACCTTTGAAGACGTTTCGCTTCTCCTCCAAGAAGCTTCATCGGCTCTGGCTGGATGGTGGGGAATGGAAGGGTTTATACTCCTTGCAGACCGCTGGTCATTTGCATTGTTTCTGAGAGTCGTTGAGGCCACTTGGAGGTTTGTCTGTGTCCTCAGGGTCATCTAAGTAGTGTATATATGTGTGTGGAGCCTTCTTGGCTGCAGGATGTTTTCTGCCCCTGTGAAGGGACCCAAGGCACCACACCTATTTGCACCACTCAGGTGACCCTGAGGACACAGATAAATCTCCAAGTGGCCTCAACGACCCTCTAGAAGAATGCAAATGACCAGCTGTCTGCAAGGAGTATAAATCCTCCCATTCCCCACCATCCAGAGCGAGCTGAAGAAGCCTCTTGGAGGAGAAGTGAAATGTCTTCAAAAAAA